TGGAGGGCTTCCCTGCCTTCTAGCAGAACACACAGGGTCCTGGTAGAACAGCTAGCAAGCATAATCTATAGACAAAACAAGCATTTGTGTAAACTACAAGCTTATCTCCTTAGGTTTTGTTGCATTTTAGCTGAAAAATTCCTCAGTGGAAGAATAACTTAACTCTATGGCCAAACCATAGTAATTTAAGAGAACATTTAAGAGCTCAGTTTTTATGCTACAAAGGTAGCAGAGCTCAGTTCCTCTGGCAGAAGAGGCAGAGAAGGTGAGAACAGAGACTCTTTGGTGGAGTCACCATCGCTGGAGGTGTTTAAAAGATGAGTAGATGCCGTGCTTAGGGGCATGGTCCAGTGGCAGACTTAGGGCTGGTTCGATGGTTGGACTCAATGATCTTAAAGGTCTTTTTCAACCAAAACCATTCTATGATTCTTAAACGGGTGGTTGAAGGGAGAGAAATCCTCTGGAGAGGAAGTTGGAGAAGTATTTAACAAGGTCAGGTATCTACCAGAACTACAAGCAGTCTGAGGTTTGAGGAGGACACCAGAAATTTCCACCAGAAAGACAGATTCAGTAAGGTCTCCACCAGCAGCACAAGTGGGAATGGCCTTCTGCAATCAAATCTCACACCATATTTCATTATGGTGCAATTCTGACCTCTCAGCTTCTGCTACTGACCTGCAAAGCTGAGCATCAGCACTGAACTCAGCAGCTGTCAACCAGCTAGTAACTACTTTATACTCGTGTTGTTTGATTAAAGAGCTCTGTTAGCACTGTCAAACTTTAAACATTTGCTAGTCTTCCCCAAACAAAAATAAAAGAAAAAGCTTTCAGTGGAAAATAACATGTGTATGTGCTTTGGCACACATACTTCTGTCGATGTTTTGCAGGTAGATGAGGCAGCAACTGCTGCTGAGAAAGATGCTATAAAGCAAGACAGGAGTTACCACATTTTTCCTAACAGGCTAAATATGACACTCAGGGTTTAAACCCAATAAAAAGGACCAATGTGTGAGCAACTCTCATGCAAATGGGGTTAGATACACCATCCCACAGACACCATGGAAAACTAAGCTTACTTCCTCAGGATGCTCATCCAATTCCAGGGTCTCATCTTCTTCAGTGTTTTCTTCTGCTACAAGTGAAGATCCTTTGCTTTTCTTGGATTCCGGCTCATCAGGGTCTTTCACCTGTTCGTGAACAAAAAAAAAAAACCATAAGGAGTACATATCCAAAATAACAAGAGCTACAGTGTTCTGTTTTCTATTTCACTTATACTTCCTTTCCCTGGAGGAACAAGCAGTTAGTGTACACTGTAACATGGGAGTGGACTAACACCCTATGTGCTCTCCTGCTTATCATCCACCCACAAGACTGCCTTCTCTAGCCAAATGCCAGAAGGCAGGAAGATCAGACACTCTGGAAATCTTGTTCCGGAAGTGCTCACAGCTTCAACTGAAAGGTGAAAGCACAGAAAACAGCTGTGTCTATCCCAAGAGCAGCTTCCGGACTCCCCAGACAGCAAAGACATTGCTTTGGTTGTTTCACAGAACATCAATCAGATTTAACATGTTCCAGTCCCATCTTAGTCCAAAGACAAGCAGCTAAGCAAGACTGTGAGGGGTTAGAGAGGGAATATCTTACCTCCTGGATGTACGTGATATCCCACACCCTCAGCTCACTGTCAGCACTCCCAGTGATCAAACGCTTCTCTTCGGATATCAAAGACATCCCCCAAACCTGTCCAGAAGCATAATGTGAGGCATTGGTTTACAGCTCCTTTAACTCCATAACCACAGCAGTGCATCTTTAATTGCTCTATTTGAATGGCAACCAAGAAGAGACTGGATCTAGCCAGGATCTCCCCCAGGGACAGCTGTATCAGAATTATCACCTACTGCATGTTGATGTCAGCTCCTGGAAAATTTGGAAGTTTCTCAAATGCTCATCCTAAAGCCTGATTTCAAGTAAAATGTATCACAGTGCCAGTTTACAAATCCTGAGAGCAGGGTAAGCACAAAGTGAGCCATGACATTTAATCCAAAGTCCTTCCACTCTAACAGCTCCTCACATCTTTACCTCAGAACGATGTCCAACCAGAGTTTTGAAGCAGTGCTGAGTGTCCAGATCCCACCACTTCACCAACGTGTCTTTGCCACTGGAATGAAGAAATAAAACTATGATATGATGAAAGGTTGCCAGAGCTCACATACACTAGTTTGGGAGAACTACAAAAAAAAAATCTAAAACATGCCACAACATATCACAGAACAGCTGCTCAGACATTGAATTTCACAAGCTAAGCAAGAACAAACTATAGCAAAACAAAGGTACTGCAAAAATGTATCAAGCAAGTAACTGAAAACTGCTTCCTCTTCTGGATTCAGCTGTGAGTCCCAGTGTCACACTGCCTCCTTTCTCTTTTAATTTGGGTAAGAACAATACTCTTTACTTAGAATGAAAACAGTAAGTCCAAAGTGTTGATCAATTCTAAAGCTGCCTCTAAACCACACCTCCACATTTTCAACCTGTGTCATGCCTGTGCATTGACCAGGCTACAAGAAAAGTAGATTCTTTCATTTTGAACAGTGATTTGGAGCTGCTCCTAACAGAGAATTACAGCTGTTTCAGTCCTTCAAAGCCCTCACAGGATCATATTTCCTTGAAAACACATTTATGGTGATATTATGCTATGCTAATACTATAAGAGCACTCAGGAAAAGTAATTTGAACATTTATACAGATCCTTTCAGTACACCACACTACAACAATTGATACTTTTAAAACTATTTTTATAAGTATTATTTATTGTTAGAGCCTATTTTCCTCAGTAAGTTTCACCTAAATCAAAATTGGTTCCATTACTAAGTGCCCTCAGGACAAAAAAAAACCCTGATTATAAGTGATATTTATTGTTAATCCATCTATTTTCTAACTTAGGATACAAAGACATTTGTAAACTGGGCACATGAAAATATCATAAAAATATTGTACAGAAAGGACAGGGGTTAGCTGCTTGGGCAAAAAAAAAAACCCAACCCAATCTAAAGTAAGGAAGGAAAACTTTGCATCTCCAAAAAAATAACGTAACATCTCTACTCTGTTAATAAAAAAAAAAAAAAAACAAAACAGAGAGAGGAATGCTTTATCTCAATTTAGCTACTCAGATAATTAAGCAGCATTTCTAAAGCTGACCTGCAAAGACTCAAAATTGCATAAGGAAACAGGTATCATCTACCAAAGCAATAAAATACTACTTTTTCCATCTGAAACAACAAAAAAGCACAAGAAACTTGTTCTAATTTTACACTGAACTGATTGCATTCACTCTTTTATTAAGCTATTAAGTGACATATCAATAAATAAAAATTATTGACAGATATTAGAGCAAAAGTATCTTCCGTCAACTGTTTATTATTAAAGGGACACAGTCAACTAACAGCTCATGCTGAATAACTAAAAACCAGCTCAAAAAAAGCCTTCTATCGTATTTTAGTTAATTCCTATAGTTACAGCTTACTAGGAAGCTATTTTTCTGTCACACTGCTGTGTGAATTACACATACAGAAGCTAAGTCAGCTTAATTCTTCAAGATAAACAGCAAAAATGGTTAAATACATAATAAACATATTATCACTATTCCTTATTACAATAATTCTAAGTTGCAATATTTACCAGCAAGTTAAACTCCTTTCCAAACACTGTTTTTCAGGATAGCCATTTCAGTTCCACTTACCACAGCTGGATTCAAGCACAGGACTTAAGAAATATGTAGACATGACAAAATCAGACTCCAGGATCCTGGTGGGTCTGAGATATCATGACTCAAGAAGAAAAATACAAACGGCTGTAGCACCTAGGATGTCTAAATGGCAAGTGAAAACATGGCTGCTTTCCTGGTCAACCACTACACTTAGCCTGGCTCACCTGGTGACCAGCAGGTTCTTCTCCTTCACAAAAAGGACTTGAGTGACAGCATCCTTGTGTCCTTTCAGCCGGTACAGACCACTCTCATTGATGACATCCCACATGATGACATCTGTATCCTGGAACAGACAGAGTGACTCCAAGGGACTGGCATTTGTCTCTGTGAAACATCTACCTCTGTTATGAGACTGAAAAGATTACCTGAGAGCATGCTTTCTCATTCTGAATTTGAATGTCAAGGATGATTAAACCAAGTGACATTCCTTCCCTAAAGGTACATTCAGGCCAAGAAATGCCCCTCTGTCCCAGCTTGAGTCACTTCTGCTACTCCTGACCTCATAAGCTTCTTCACCTTTAATAGCTCTACCCACTCCTGCCCTGCTGCTCTCCCAGTCCTGGGCTCCCCAGCTCCATTGCCCTAATTCACTGCCATCATAACCCACTTAAAATGCCAAACATTTTGGTGCAGGTCAGCCTTTTCCATGGAGCATCTCTGCGAAAGGGCTGTCTTCCAGATGTGGAACTCTCACCTTTGAGCCAGACACCAGCCGGCCACCCAGATGGTCATACTGCAGGGCTGTCACTGCAGCCTTGTGTCCATTGAAGGTGATATCTGCTTCTCCGCTTAGGAGGCTGAAGATACGAATTGATCCATCTTCATACCCAACAGCCAAGTGCAAACCATCTGGAGAGGGGCAGAGGAAACTGACCTCCTGCTTGAGACCCTTAAGGATAAGAACCTGCAATTTTTAGGAGACAAAACACGTATAATGTTGACAAATGACACATCACAGCCAGATACTTACCCAGCAGAAAGAATATACTCTGCTCTTCTACCAAACTTCCAACTGAGCGCTTCTGCCACTTTAGAAGCTCATTTTTCAGCTTCCTGCACTGAATACAGCATCATTAGCCTCATTTTACAAGACAGACAGCAGCTAGAAGGGAAGCAATTTCTCATAATCAAACAGGAAACTGGTGCAGAATGAGGTCTGTAACTCAGAAGCTCAAATTTATGCCCCTGCATTTTAAGTGCCAGAGAGCAAGGAACATAGATTTGAGAGTAAATTCTGAAAGCTTCTTCCTGACTTATCCTCTCTTGCTTGCCCTTTCTCAGGTACAGGACAGAGCCACTCTTCCATGGACTGCACAAGTTGAGAATCTTCAGAGATCGCCAAAGAGACCTTTGAGAAGACATCTCCAAATCAACATACCAGCAGTCACCAATCCAGGGGCTGCTAAAGCAAATCCTGAATTCAATTTGTAGTAGACAGCTGTCCTTACAATTATTTCAGAATCCGACAGGAGGAAACACATGGCAAATGCCTTAAAGTTACAGCTCACAGTCCCCTCTATAGGGCACAACTTTCACATGGGAAGCCCAGTTCCAAAACACAAACTCCACAACATCCCCATTTCATAGAATCATAGAATGTGTCGGGTTGGAAGGGACCTTTAAAGATCATCTTGTCCAACCCTTCTGCAAAGAGCAGGGACATCTTTAACTACATCAGGTTGCTCAGAGTCCCATCAAGCCCGACCTTAAATGTCTCCAAGGATGGGGCCTCCACCATCTCTCTGGGCAACCTGTTCCAGTGTTTCACCATCACCCTCATACTGAAGGGCTTCTTCCTAATGTCCAATCCAAATCTACCCTGCTCTAGTTTAAAACCATTACTCCTTGTCCTATTGCTACCTGCCTCTGTAAACAATCCCTCCAAAGCTTTCTTGTAAGCCCCCTTCATGTACTGGAAGGCCACTATAAGGTCTCCCTAGAGCCTTCTCTTCTCCAGGCTGAACAACCCAACTCTCTCAGCCTGTCTTCATAGGAGAGGTGCTCTAGGCCTCTGAGAATTTCTGTGGCCTTGTTTCATCCCAGAACATTCACACAGCGCTGCTGGTCGCCAGCTAAACAGGGAACAGCTTTACAGTCGCTGTGGCGGCAATTACTCTTCCCCAGCTGCGGTACCAAAGGCAAATCTCAAAGGACCGACGCTGAGATTCAGCCAGGGCGCACCCCCAAGCGAACCTCACAGTGTGCTCAGACCACAGAAAAGGGAGGGGAAGCCGTGGAGGCGACGCTTATCTTAAAACTCATCCCACCGACAACAACAGCTTTGCTTCAGAGGATCCAAAGCCGCCGCACACTGCACGCCACCCCGCCTTATCCTCTCTTGCTTGCCCTTTCTCAGGTACAGGACAGAGCCACTCTTCCATGGACTGCACAAGTTGAGAATCTTCAGAGATCGCCAAAGAGACCTTTGAGAAGACATCTCCAAATCAACATACCAGCAGTCACCAATCCAGGGGCTGCTAAAGCAAATCCTGAATTCAATTTGTAGTAGACAGCTGTCCTTACAATTATTTCAGAATCCGACAGGAGGAAACACATGGCAAATGCCTTAAAGTTACAGCTCACAGTCCCCTCTATAGGGCACAACTTTCACATGGGAAGCCCAGTTCCAAAACACAAACTCCACAACATCCCCATTTCATAGAATCATAGAATGTGTCGGGTTGGAAGGGACCTTTAAAGATCATCTTGTCCAACCCTTCTGCAAAGAGCAGGGACATCTTTAACTACATCAGGTTGCTCAGAGTCCCATCAAGCCCGACCTTAAATGTCTCCAAGGATGGGGCCTCCACCATCTCTCTGGGCAACCTGTTCCAGTGTTTCACCATCACCCTCATACTGAAGGGCTTCTTCCTAATGTCCAATCCAAATCTACCCTGCTCTAGTTTAAAACCATTACTCCTTGTCCTATTGCTACCTGCCTCTGTAAACAATCCCTCCAAAGCTTTCTTGTAAGCCCCCTTCATGTACTGGAAGGCCACTATAAGGTCTCCCTAGAGCCTTCTCTTCTCCAGGCTGAACAACCCAACTCTCTCAGCCTGTCTTCATAGGAGAGGTGCTCTAGGCCTCTGAGAATTTCTGTGGCCTTGTTTCATCCCAGAACATTCACACAGCGCTGCTGGTCGCCAGCTAAACAGGGAACAGCTTTACAGTCGCTGTGGCGGCAATTACTCTTCCCCAGCTGCGGTACCAAAGGCAAATCTCAAAGGACCGACGCTGAGATTCAGCCAGGGCGCACCCCCAAGCGAACCTCACAGTGTGCTCAGACCACAGAAAAGGGAGGGGAAGCCGTGGAGGCGACGCTTATCTTAAAACTCATCCCACCGACAACAACAGCTTTGCTTCAGAGGATCCAAAGCCGCCGCACACTGCACGCCACCCCGCCCCTCACCGCCCC